TCTGAGACAGGCTCTGGAGAGGGCTCAGGAACTGGCTCCAAGGGTGGCGTCTGAGACAGGCTCTGGAGAGGGCTCAGGAACTGGCTCCAAGGGTGGCTCTGAGACAGGCTCTGGAGAGGGCTCAGGAAGTGGCTCCAAGGGTGGCTCTGAGACAGGCTCTGGAGAGGGTTCAGGAACTGGCTCCGGGGCTTGCTCTGAGACAGGCTCTGAGACAGGTTCGGGAGTAGGCTCGGAGACTGGCTCTGCATCAGGTCCTGCAATCCGGCTTGTAACAACTGGCGGGAGGACCACCAGTGTGGCGCTCGAGGCCCCCTCAGCCGCTGGCTCCAGCGAGGGAGTGGGGACAGCCGGCTCGCTCTGTGGCTCTGAACTCCGGGGCAATGGTGCTATGAGCGCGGCGGCTGGCTGCTCGGTGAGGATGGGTTCAAATGGCTCCAGCCCAGGTTCCCCTAGCGGCGGCAGGCCAGGGGCATCCATCGCCAGGTCAGCACCAGCGGCCGCCGAGTCGGCCTCTGCCTCTGGCGCAGGCCTCGGGCCCTGGGGCAGCAGGGTGGGGTACACGAGGGCCTGCCCCTCCCCTGGCGCCCCCTCATCCTCAGGCTCGGGCTCGGGAGGGCCCAGCACCACGGGCCCTGCCCCCGCCATAGCGCCGGCGCTTGCTCCTGCCCCGGGCGCGGCGGGCTCCGGCTCGGGTGGCTCGGTGTCCTGGTTGCCAGACTGTATGGCCGGCACGACGCCAGACCCAACCTGCTGGCCTGGCAGTCTGTCGGTCACACCCTCGGCCAGCGGGCCGAGACTGGACGTCTCGGCCTCGGGCTGAGGCCCGAGGTCGGAGAGCGGGGTCGTCTCCGGCAGGGGGGCCGGGGCGGGGCCCTCGCCGGCCCCAATCGCGGGACTGGGGGGCAGCACGGGGGCCGTGCTCAGCGGCGCCGCCACCAGGTGCAGCACCCCGTCTGATGCGTACAAGTCTGCCAGCACCACCTCCCCACCCCCAACTTCCAGCGTGCTGTTGCCTGCAGGTGAGGTTTTGGGGTGATTCGGGAGGCGCCCGGGAATCTTGCCCTCCTGAAGTGCCCCATTCATGCTTACGATAAGAACAAATAAAAGGCTTGCCCACTCCCGTGACACCTAATGCCAGCCTTCCACATCCAGCCACCCTGGCCCAAGCCAGTGCCCGGCGCCTCACCATCTGGCCCCGCAACCTGGGTCACGGGGAAGGTGTCCCCGCTGGCCATTCGCACCTGCCCCGCCTCCAGCAGCTCGCTGCGGCCGAGCGCCCCCGAGGCCAGGGACTGCAGGACCAGCACGCGCATGGCTGGACCGTCAGTCAGGTCGGCGGCTGGGACGTAGGTGGCCATGGCGGCGTTGGTGGGCGCAAACACCGTGATCTGGGAGCCCGGGAAGCTGGCGATGTCCGCCGCACGCAACGCCTGGACGAAGAGCAGGGCCTGCGGCGTCCCCGCTAGCAGGCCGGCCAGTGACGGCAGGCTGGCCGTGGCGACATCGCAGGCGCGCAGCGCGGCGCCGACGAAGAGCGTGGACTGCCGGGGGTCCGCGCCCAGGCAGAGGCTGGAGGAGGCGATGTAGCACACGAACTCGGCGCTGCCCTGGGAGACCAGCCACTGCCCGCACCCCACCCGGCCCGTGTCCACGCCGTTGCTCTGGCCATCGGTGGTGCAGGGGCAGGACACCGAGGTCAGCTCCTGAGGCATCGAGACCCGAAGAGGGGGAGGGGCCGTCACGAGGCGGTGTGAGGGCCGTGATGGCGGCTTGCCCCGGGGTGTCAACAACGTCGCGATGCCATAAGAATCTGGACAGGAGACGCGGCCTCGGACCCATTCACGCATCTGGGGCAGCATTACATGGTCATCGGGCCCCATTCACCGTCAATGGAGCGAGCAGATGCCTTCGTAGCGTCGGTTTGCGATCCTGGCGCCAACACGAGGCGGTGGTCACGAGGAGGCCCACCAGGACGAGGCGCAGCACGAGGTGGGCCATGGTGTGAGATGTAGGCTGGTAGGATCGAGCTGAAGGTGCGCAATGCTGTGATGGAGGTGGTTTGGGTGTGACATTGTGGGCAAGGCGCGAGATCCGGCTTGAATTTGGGGCCCTGCTGAACACGTGGCCGCACGACAGCATCTCCTGTACGTCAGCTTCCGTTGTTGTCATTGCATCTTGCCATCCACATACACATACCTCGACCATTTGAAAGGTGATAAACAGCGCCTCAAGCAGCACAAACGTGGCCTTGCCGGCGGATACAGTGCCCTCACACATCAGCCAGTCAGCTTCCTGCCGATGCGATGGAGGAGGCCGCCCTTCCGGGCCGATCCTTGCGCTGGTGAGGAGGAGGACGCGGTGGTGCTCAGCTCCACTGCCGGGTGCGGGGTCGTGGGAAGTATGGCTTTTGGATGTTGCTTCACAGCAACAGGGTGCCGGGTCTCACCCGACCCCTCAGCGCCCTGCTTTTCGGTGGCCTGCTCAGCATCTGTGCCAGGCCCAGCGCTAGCTCCCCCGGTCTGCTGGCCGATGAGGCGCGCTGACAAGCCCACCAAGCCCGCAGCCTGATTCTCCACCTTGCCACCCTGGGGGAAACGGGCAAGCTTTGTGAATCATGACTGATGGAGCATTCGGTGCGGGCACATCTGCCAGGCATGTAGCGGAGGGTGGTGTGCGTCGTGATTCCAAGCAAGACTTCCATCACACAGGGGTGTCCGCATTCCTGAGATGCAAAAATTACACCGGCCTCCTTGCCTCCTTGCCTCCACACCTTGAACTCAAAGAGGCCATCCCAGACGGCATCCAGAGAGTGCAGGGCCTGGCTGAGGGGCACAGCCTGGAGGGCTCCGTCGGTGCTGCCCTCGGTAATGATACCCCACTGCCGAATGCAGAAGAGGATGTACAGGTGTTTTAGGAGGCATGGCGATTGTGGTCCAGCCCTCAGTTACCACTCGAGATTCATGTCCCAATCCAGACTCAACCACTAATGAGAAATGCCCCTGATCTCGATCACCCCTCCACCTTCTACCCACCTCCAACAGGGTTGGCAGGGCGCTCTCGCACGTGAAGTCCACCTTGAGCCCAAACTCCCTGCTCAAGTACTGCTCACATTGACTATCCAGCTCATCGGCTGGAGAGGGGAGGGGCAAGGGGAGTATGGGTGAGTGTCGGTCACACTCTGGCATGCAATGTGCCGTAGTGTAGCAGCAAGGTGCATGCAACTCATGAACACAGGCTTTGATTGATTACATATTCAGGAGCACCTGTCATGAGCTTGCTGCTCTCCAGCAAGACGCAGTAGCAGATCAGGAGCTCCCGCGTGTGTTGCCTGGCAGGATGAACAACGGAATGAGGAGTGGGCATACCAAAACAGGTGCACCATTGGGACAGGTGACGATGACCAGGTCAGGTCAGACAGTCCAAAACGCTCGAGCTCCGTATCGATGACCTCATTGACTTTCTCCTCCCGCCTTATCACCAACAATCCCACGCTCACTTGTTCATCTCATCTACCAGAGCGGCAACCACCTTCTCCTGAGCTGCGGTGCTCCTCTCAAACAGGATCTGCAAAAAATGAATGTAGCCCGGATCAAGTATCCATCAAGCAGAGACAGCCAGCCGTGTGCTGCTGCCGATCAGCATGCAGCCCCACGTTTGGATCTCGAGTGCGTAAACTCGAGATCCTTATCCATACCTTTTGTATCTGCCTCTCTATGGCAGTCTTCCTGAACAGAGCGGCACTGTACATCTGATATGCACGAGAGGCTAGCAGAGCGAGAGCTGAGTAGGCCACTGCCCCGGTGAGCTTATCCTGAGAAGGAGGAGGGGATAGGTGAGAAATAAGTGCCAGGGAGCATGGACTTGAAATGATGGGGTTGCAAACCATGGATTTCCTTTGGCCCTCACTTGCATGGCATTCCCTGCATACCCTCCCCAGGGCACAAACTTCCCTTTCTCACCGATCCAGCCAGCATGGAGAGTGCAGTGACGAGACCAGTGATGGCAGTGACCATGAGCTGCGGGAAGGGTGCGATGAGGATTAACGTGATTGGCAGCAGATCGAACGGTGGCATAGGTGGCAATGGATGTTGTTCCAGCATTAGAATACAATAGCAAGCCGGCGGTGGGTCGAGACTATGCCCTCCCAAGTACAGCTCCTTACGAACTCAAGGATACGATGGAGAGAGGGCTCATCCCATTGGCCTTCCAATGGTTGGCCAGTACAGCTCCCCCCTCTCCAGCATAGCTTTCCCATCCCTGTGCCTGCCCCACCTGTACAAAGACCATGGGTGGAACGAATACGGTCTTGTCTGGGATGACCATCTCCAGATCAGCCAAGGGAATCTGGGAAAAGTGCCTGATCACAATGTTGCGCTCCAGGTCCTGGCATAGGGTTTAGAAGGGCGGTAGAGTCAGAACACGATCTTGTGGCCGAGCAAGATGATGTCATATAGTTCAGGAGAGTGCGATGAAGCTCTGCCGTTGTATGCTGCATCAGAGATGGCTTCAAGTAGGCTGAAGTCCAGCCAAGTCTTCAAACCTCATGCAATCCCACTCACACCAAACCATCCAATCCGCATGCTCTGCTCACGGTCTCCTCGTCATTGATGATGTCCAGCTCGCTGGGGGCCGGCCCAGGGTGGGCTTTCCTGTAGAGCACCACCACATCCTTGAAGCAGGCCTCCTGCAGCCGCACCTTCTTGAACAGGCCCTGCCAGATGGTCTTGGGGTCCTTGAACACCCTGCAGGTGCGGGTGGAGGAGGTGGGGGTTATGGGATCAGCAGGGATCAGCACAGAATCCTTCAGTTGTGATCAACAGCAAAAGCACGACGCACAGCCATTCACTGGGCCCCACCTGGCAAATGTCTTGCGTTCCACCGAAATGGTGTTTGGGTGCAGCTGCCCCTGCTTCAGGGAGGCCTCTGCGGCGTCCGCCGACGCGGCCGAGGTGGGGGTGATGTCTGCCGGCATCTGCTCCATGCCTGGCGGGGCCTCGCCGAGGTGCTTGGACAGCCCCAGCTGTCACAGGGTGGAGACGAACTAAATCAGAAGCAAGGGCCAGCACGGGGCAGCCAGTGGCCTTTACACGCAGGTGATCCACTCATCACGCCCCGACACCCCCGCTTGCTCTGCCTCATGCAATCCTCACCCACACCACTTGACCTCACCCAGCCAGCGATGAGGACGAGGAGGGCCCACAGGGGTTGCAGGATGTAGAAGGACAGCAGCGCATCGATCTTGAGGTCATAGTACAGGCCCTGCATGCGCGCCACCTGAACGCCCCGGTGAAAGATGAGCACGTGGTCTGCCAGGTCATCCGGCACCTCCGCCCGCGCCTGCGGATGGGCCTGCCAGTAGCAGCGCAGCAGCTGGGTGTCCATCGCCGCCCAGTTGATGATCACCGGCAGCGTGAGCTGGATGGGAATGGTGAAGTGAGAGTGTGTTTGTGAACTAGGTTGAAGCCCATACGTGTGTGCAGGAGCGGGGGAGAATAGTCTGAGTGTCAGTAACCAGTCCTCCCTTCTTCCAAGGCCACGATGTCATAGGTGGCTTCATAATACCATGCTCTGCACAATCCCATGCACCATTTCCTCCACACAGCGGTGTGAATCCTTCATCAACCTTCATCCTCAACCATCACCAACATCACCAACGAACATCACCAAGATCACCCACCAGGAAGTCCTCGCTCTTGGCAGCCTCCCACTCCGAGCGATCCAGCAGGCGGTACTGGCAGGACTGCAGCAGACCAACCACATCCTCCAGGGTGCCCTGCTCCAGAGAGTTGAGCTGCGCTTCCGTTTCTGGGGTTTGTGGGGCATTGTGTTGGTCAGCGGCATGGGAGTGTGGTAACGATAGGTAATCCATGCAGGCTTGGAGTCTGTGTGAGCAGGAGTGCGTCATGGCTGCCCTTCTACAGTCCCACTGTCACCAATCAAGACAACAAAAGGTAAAAGCTCCCATCGCAAAGCTCAGACCTGCTCGCAGTCCCTCCACACACGTACTTGACTTGAGGTCGGCACCGCCAACATTACGTCCTGTGGAGCCAAACCTCTGCAGGCCATGGTCGATGCGCCTACATGGGAGATATATTGTTCAAATTCAATCACCCGCTGTTCAAAAGACAAGGAGGGGCGCATTCCAACCCAAGGCGGAATTTGCTTCCTGCACAGCTGTGCCAGGGCTTTTCCCACGGATGACCGAAGTCGCGACCTACCTGCGCAGCTTGGACAGCTCATGAGAGACGATGCCAGACATGAGCTCCTGCAGGGACGACATGCCACCGGCCCCGGAGCTCCCGACCACCTCTGCACGGTTTTCAAGGTAATAAGCTCGTCGAGGTGGCAGGCCTCGCCATGCAGAGCGTGCCATGAACACCATGGGGCTCACCTCCGAGTGCATGAACCAGTGTCTTGTCATCGATGGCGATGAAGCGATCGGGAGGGGCGACGACCCGTTCCCTGCTGACAATTACTTTACGCGGTGGGTGGTGTGATGACATGACAATCGACTGCTGGACAGGAAGAGGGGCGGGTAGAGGATGGCACACAGCAAGGAGGTCGACGTAGATTACGCGGGCTGCCTCGAGTCGACTGCGTTGTCTCTTATATTCTCCTCTGTGCTATTTTACCAAATATGGATGTATCAAAAGGAGGACAGCTTCACAAACCAGAAATCGACAGGTTGATGGGCCAAGATTGCAATTGCACAGAAGCTGGCTACCTTGATACTCGCGCCCTGCAAGGATTCACGTTAGGGCTTCACAACTATACACCCACCAGGGGATGCATTTGAGAGGCCTGCACTGCGACTGCACGTGCTCATCTCGAATCTTATAGTCATGCCCAGGACCGACTCCGCTCCTCAGGGCACTCATGGCGTGTTCGGGTCTGCCCGGTCATGGTTTGGGCCGAACAAGCCCCCGCCCTTCACGCTGATCGACTTCAACGTACAGAACTTGTTCCCCATCCGCCTGACCCTGGCCCGCGACGCCTTGCTGCCATCGCGCGTGGGAATCCGCAAGGACGTGGTGCTCCTGGACCTGATCAGGTGGGTGGGACTGATGGCTTGGCAGAAGGCGGGGCTCGGTGAGTGAGCCCTGGAGGGGGGTGTGTCAACCAATCATGCGCACTCCCCCTGCCGTCAGGATGAGAGCCAAGGCAGACCTCACCCTCCCCGATGGTCGGTTCATCTATGGATTTTCATGCAAGGTGAGACACGTGCAAGCATTGGTGGTTTGTTTCTGAGCGGCATGGTTGTGCATGGGGGGTTGGTACCGCCCCCGCCAGTAGGGGCCTTGTGCCATTCACAGCATGCACATGATGAGAAGTGCACCTCCCACATCTGCAGGACACCATTTTCAACGGCCAGTTCAGCGTCAACATTCCGGCCAAGGCGTTGGAGTACAGGTGTGATGCCATGTTGGGAGAGCCGCTGGGAGGGCCCTTTGACCGAGCCCTTACACGAGACGCCCCTCTGCCCCCGTCACTGCATTCCCCTGCCCCACCCATGTCAGGAAGCGCATCGGCCTCCCAAACGGCCTGTACCTGTCCGCCAACGCGGGTGTGCAGCATGTGGGCACCAGCCTGCGGCAGTCGGTGCGGGAGCAGTTTCGCCCTTTCCTGGGGGCCCACCTGCAACTGGGCGGGAGCGCCAGCAACGACGACGTCGTGTTCGGCGGGGCTGGCGGCCTGTCCTGGAAACAGAGAATACCCGTGCCCATGAAGCTGGCGGGGCTTCGGGCCCCGCGGGCTGCCGTGGAGGTGAGGGGCGGCGCCAGAGGGCCACGAGTCTGGGGCCGCAAGGGCTGGAGGGAAGGGGGGCTGGTGCGACGTGAGACCTATGCAAGGTCTGAGTGCATTCCATTGCCTGGGAAGGGATCACACTCGAGAGCGCCTGGGAGGGCATGCCAGGTGGTGATAGCATCCAGCGAAATTGCCAGAATTCTGAGCATGGGTGGTTTGAGAGCCATACATTCACCCCCCCCAAACTTCCTCACACCCCGCAGGCCTACACCAATGTGAAGCTGCCATCCCTGACGACGCTGCAGAGCCTGGATGGGGACAACGCCTTTGAGCAGCCGTACGGCCTGCAGGCTGAATCAGGCCAGGCGCTGACGGTGCACATTGATCACTACAACCTCGTCTTCGAACTCTGAACGCTGCTGCTGGCACCTCCCCGCATCCCAGCTGAACGCAGTAAGCTCACCTGATGTACCGATGGTGCTTGATCTGCCATGTCACAACATGGCATGAGTGTGGGGGGCCGAAACGACTCAACAAGAGGCATTGCACCCTTCCATGACATGCCCCATGCTGACGAGAAATATATGAAACGCTTTGCGCACTTGTGCTCACTGTAAGAATAACTTGGGGTGTCAGAAGTGCTCCGGGGTAGAGGTACATGGGGCAAAAAGAGCATGATACGCTGACTTCATTGCTTGGTATCAACCAGGTCAGTCCAGCAACCCATAGAGCGAGATACTCTGTGTTTATCTGCTCAGCTCCTGGTAGGGTATCCACTGGATGCGTAGGGTGATGGTCGACTTCTCCTTCTTGCCTGCAGCGGGAAGAGCATGCAGCAATGAGTTCTGTGGCTTGGGGCAGGAGAAATCGCCATGTCCGAACACCTATCAATCCCACATGCCAGTGCATAAATGGCCAGCTGCAAGTGCCGGCTCCTGGATGGCCTCGAGAGAGGCAAACTTTCTAGATTGCTATAATGCTGGCTGACTGATGTGGCAATGACCTTCCAATCCCCCCACACACGCTTCCCCTGCAGCCACTCCCCTCCTCCACCCACCCGAGGGATCGACCCAATCCGTGGGAACATCCTCCAGCTCCCAGGTCTTTGTGACATCGCCCCTGGGAGCCTGAATGTGCAGGGGTGGGAGCATGTGGAACTCCCCGTGCATCTGATACCCTCCAGAAATACAGTTTGAGATCTCTACCATAGTACTTGAAGGACAGCCACCTTCAGCACCCCAGAAACAACACCATTACCACCTGCCGCCGCACCCTGGCAATCTCTTCTGTGATGTCAATCTCAACGGAGCCCTCCACCTCATTGCCGGACCAGCGGTCGAAATCATACACCGTGGCTTCCAGCACCGAGTCCATGGGCACCTGATCAGAGCCGGTGGGGCGGGGGGGGGGGCTGATACATAAATAGTCTGATGATGGTTGGAGTAGGAATCGGATTGATCGTCAGGCAGCCAGGTCAGCCACATGCACTGATGACAGTGCAAGTAACATGCTTCCTCCCAACCGACGCCAAGGCATGGACCAAGACCCCCAGGCCAGCCTCACATGGAACCAGTCAAAGTGCTCCCCAATCCAACGGGGATTGAGGTTCTTCCACACCACGCTGCTCTTCTTGCTTTCTTTGTTCAGCTTGAACACCACCATGGGGTCCGACTGGTTCACGGGGCGGTCCATGGGTACAAGGTTGTTGCACCTGCACGGGGAGGTGTGTGGGTCACAGTTGCTGGTTGTGCAACGAATGTAAGCACCAGGGGATGAGCGGCTACCTTGGTGCAGATGGGTGTCTCTGGCCTGACCCAGCCTCCAACCAGTCGACATCCATCCGCCAACTTGGTGCACTGGTCTTGACACACCCTCAAACCCTGCTCTCAGGGCCAGGCCAGGCCACGGCAGCCACCTGAATAGGGTGACAATCACGGCGCCTCGAGCAGCAGATTTGTGCCCCTTCAGCTGATCAAAGGGCCAGAAGGTGATGTTGAGGTGCACCTCGCCCCTCCCAGAGCCCTGCGGAGGTTGGAGGATAGGATGTGAGAGTGATCTGAGCAGGAGAGGCTGGGAGCCAAAGTCAGACTTCATAGAAGTCGCCTACAGAAACCCCACACCGAGACTCGGGCCAGGTGTCTTGCAGCGTCATGCACGGGCACACACCACCGCAGGTGCATGGGCTGCGGCTGACCAGCGCACCCCTTCCTCCCCGTTCCCCTCTCAATAGTATACTCACACAACCCGCCGCAGCCGCAAAGTCTCCCGTGCCCAGGGGGACCCACATCTCGTGGGGCTCTCCAGGCCTCTGTTGGTGGTCGAGGGGACAAGAGAGGCAGGTCAGGCGCTTGTAAGCATACTGACGTGCCAGGAACACAATCGTGGAGAGGGAAGTCCCGCCTGCCGCACTCCAATACCCCACCTGGGTGAACTCCTTGATGGGCAGCGCAGCCCGACCAAGCAGCGTCGAGTTCTTGACCACGTTGGAGGCGCCTTTCAGCACATTCAGCTGCAGCAGGCTCTGTTGCTCAAGCAGGGGTGGATTGGGGATCATGGTGGTGGTGTGTGATAATGGCATGGTTTGCGTACACGGACAGTGCCATGCCTTTCGTCGAGGAACTCCTCTTATCACAGGGACATCTAGCCAGAGCTGGCACCACCAGCAACCACATCGCCCCCACTCCCTCCCCCACCTTGACGTTCACGAGGTCGATGTCCTTGACGACGATGTACAGCAACTGTGAGGCGGGCTCCTGGCACATCAGCCACAGCTTCTCACCGAACTTTGGGTGCAGCGAGTTCTTCTTGACCGTGGTCTTCTCTTTCTGAGGGTTTGCGCAAGATTGTATGTTGGTGATGTTTGACCCACACGAGTCCCCCGGCGTGAGGGCTTGCTCGTCCAAAGCTCCGGACCTCTCACCGGCTGGTATCCCCAGCACCAGATACTACTTGGGCTAAGCAGGAGACAAACATGCAGCAACCCTCCCTCCCCGATCGGTCTTCCCCGCCCCCCCTCGCCAACTCACAACATGCGCGGTGGTGTAGACGGTGACGAAGGAGTCGGCGGAGCCTATCGCATCGACCTTGGGCAGGTCTCGCGCCTCGATGACATCGACGCGCAGGACACCCTTGTGCCTGGTGAAAGGAGGGAATGAGAGGCTGGGTGTTTGGGTCGGGCAGAGGCGAGAGGGCGGATGGGTGCAAGGACCCTTGGGGTGCAGATACCTGCGCAGCCCCAGGGCTGCGCAGGTTTGTCGCCGTCGCTGTGGTTACAGGCAGCATACCTGGTCCCACCACATGGTCAGCAGCGGTGGACATGTTCCCACTCCCATTGTTTGCAACCTTCCCCCGCAGGAAGCTGGTCCTCCCGCACAGCTCCACCACCCACCTGAGGTACAGGTCGTCCAGCGGCCCCGTCACGGACTCGTCCAGCAGGGGAATGACGATCCGCGACGGCCAGAGCAGCATTTCCGCGATCTGCGTCCTGAGAAAGTCGTCCAGCCACAGCCGGATAGCGCCCGCGGAGGCTGCGCCGCCAAACGCCTTGCCAAAGTCCAGGTGGAATCTTAGGTGGGGGAGGTGGTGCCATACAGGAGAGGAGGGAGCGTCAGGGGGAGCACGGCGCTCAGGGCAGTCGAGCCGCAGTGTACTGTTGCGACAGGTCTAAACCCTGGCTGGCAGGTTCTCTCCAGGGCCAGCTCGTCGCTTGCACCAAAGCTGCAAGTTTCGACGCCCAACAAAGTTCCCTGCCCACACAATCGGCCCCTCCTGTAGGCAGCCCACCTGACGATGGGGGGCTTGCGCAGGGAGACCAGGGCGGCCCCAAACCCGGGGATGGTGTCCAGCAGGGGGCGAAGCACCACGCGCGCCGTCCCGCTGACCGCCAGGTCGGAGACCTTGGGCGCCAGGCGGGTCAAGGTCCCGCCCACCGGCAGGTCGATGCCCATGACGATGTTGGCGTCCCCAGACCAGCGGAAGTCGACCTTGGATGAGCGAGGGGTGAATTGGGTGGTGAGTACCGTTCCGTGCATGGACACCCAGAATGGTGCATGTGTGTCACCTCGATACCATTCAATGGAACAGTGCAGCCCTGCCACTGCACACCGCCAGGATCGCACCTCCACTGCAACTTCCGAGGGATCGTCTTTGTCTACTCGGATCCCCTCCAGCCTGCAAGACGGCCAGGGGAAGCTTGGTACCCGTTTCCATGTGGCTGGGGGCTTGCCATGCATGCCTCAGGGTGCTGAGGCCAGCAGCACAGGCGGGAGTGATCGTGGTCTCCCCCCCGTGAAACACACCTGACAGGACTATTCCCAAAGGTCAGTTTCTGGAAGTAGATGCGCTTGATCAGTCCCGATGGCTTGTACTGGGCCATCAAGGGCTCCACTTGCGACTGCATGGCCAGGGATCAAGGAGGGCACCTGTCGCTTCATGGGGTCGTGCCAGCCAGAGGCCCATGTTACACCACATGCCGCCTAAACAGTGGCCAGGCACCAGCCCCACCGCACACAGCCCAGAGGCACACCTTGACCATCGTCGATATGGCCAGATCGTAGTAGGGCCAGGACTTGAGGATGATGTCGTTCAGCCACTGCAACACAGAGGTTGAGGGTGGCATTGGTGCCGTGTCATGCATGGGAGGGTGGTATTGTGCCAAAGGCGTTCTTGCAACCTCGACACACAGCCAGACTCGCCCCACCAATCCACCCGCTTCACCTCCAGCTTCTCTGTGTCGGCAAAGTCCAGCCATGTGGGGATCTTGTGCAGGAGCTGCTGCATTCCCTTCCGGCCAGGAGTAATGCGGAGCTGCAGGATGCGAAGCCAGGCGAAAGGAGTATGTTGGAGTGGATGTGATGTCCAGTGCTGGGGCAAAGCGGCAGCATTCTGCGCATGATGGTGCACTGCACACGGCCTCCCATCCCACGCAGGGAGTGCCTAGGCATCCTCCCACACCTCCGGACACCAGCATGCAACCTTCACCACCCCAGCCCCACCCGCTGCGCCATGGCTGCCTTGCGCTTCAGGTTGAAGCGGTGCAGGAGGGAGGCCCCGAGTCCCACGAGGAGGCCCAGGGCGAGGGCGCGGACCAGCTCCCAGCTCCACAGCCAGAGCAGGGGAATCAGGCATGCCAGGAGGCCCAGCCAGCCCAGGAAGGCCATGGTCGCCAGTTTTTGCAGCTGGTAGGTCACGCTCTCGCCATCCACGGCGGTGGTTTCAGGAGCCTTGGCCCTGCTGGGCCGGGGCGATGCTGGTGCACCTGCAGGCCCCGGCTCCCTCGATGTGCGGTCGTCCATGTCGTCGGGGCTCTCCACATGCGAGGCTGCATGCGATGCACGACGCTCCGTGTCAAGTGATGGGGCCTGGGTTTGATCTCCAGGCACGCGGTCCACGGTGACCAGCGGACGCCCCGCGCCATTGTCGCGAGCTGCCATACCCGCCCTTCGGCTCCAATGCCAACGAGGACGCTGCAATCAAGTGGGAGGCTTCTCGTCAACACGATGTCCCTCGATCGAGAAGTAATGAAGGATGTCGAGGTGGCGCATGCCGACATGCAGGTCGGGCAGCACATCAAGACATGGAGCGAGAACTGTAGCGCGGGTGGATGGAACACCCCGCATGCGTACCTTCCCTGCTGCTTCCCCGGGTTCTTTGAACTCGGTCAGCGGCGTCGCTCACACCGGATAACGGTCCTTACTCGGCGAAAAAACGCAGAGCCAGTCATCGTTCTGGCTCCACGGGCATCCTGCACATCGTTTCTACGTGTATCACCATCCGCGCCGTGTCCGAGGGCGAGCCGTGGGTTCCTTCCAGGCAGCACTGAGATTGACAGCTAGCAGCGCTGAGGTGCGCATTGTGCACCCGAGGTAGGGTACGCATTGTATTCGGACATGGCTTCTCATGAGACTGCGTCCTGTATCCAGGCGCAGGCGGCCGACGATGAATAGCCGTCCTCACCCTCATGAGTGGTAGTACACGCGGCGAGAATTCAGCAGCGATGTGCGTCGTTGTACACAGGCGAAGGGAGTGAAACACTTTCATCTCCATCTGCAGGTGCTGGGTGTGAGCTCCTGACATGGCTACAAGCGGGAAGGCCTTTGGCATCTCCATTGCCATTTACTCCGCCATATGCATCGCCATCTTCATCCTCTTCTCCTGGTGGCGTCAGAGGAATCTGACGAGGAAGTTTTATGCACCGAAGAGGTGGGTGTGGGGCCAACTGTCCAGATGGTGGCCGAATTGCGTGCAGTTTGGGCAGCTGTCTGAAGGCCACAGATGCTGCGCCGGGCGCCGATGCCTGCCGCAATGCCTGCATACTTCCATGAGAGGATGCATGTGCATGGTCTTCACATGCAACCCCATGCAGGTTTGTCAAGTACCCAGGACACCAGAAACCTCCTCGTTTGCGGAGTAAATGGGGCGCATGGGCAGTGCAGGCAAGTGATCTGTGCTGCTGTGTGTCCCCACCCGCTTGGGTGTGGTGGGATGGCGAACAGGAGACACGCTTTCTGTTGGTGGAGAGCCGTATGTATGCGTTGGCAATCTGCGCCAGAAATCATTACTCTGGCGCATACAAAACTCCTTGCTCGGTCGCAGGTGTTCAAGATGAGCGAGGCTGAGGTGATCCGCTGTGGCGGGATGGATGCTGCCATGTATGTGAAGATCCTCGAGATGGGTGAGCACAAGGCATGCGGGTGGCAGCGCTGCATTGTCCAGCAGGCGTGTCTTCAGAACCCCAGTTTGGCAGCCGCAATGACTCGAGTGCCCAGGGTGGATGCATGAGCAGGCACAGCCAGAAAATGGTCCTCACCTTTCCTTGGACCCTGAAGATTTCCCAAGAAGCACCACATCCCGCCTCTGTCCTCCCTGCAGGGATGAAACTCTTCTTCTTCGTCAGCATCATAGTCTTAGTCATCATCCTGCCCATCAACATCACGGGCACGGAGGTTGACAAACTCATGGAGGTAGGGATTGCAATTCCCATCAAGTAGTAACATGCCGGCATGGAATACCAATGGGAAATCCTGGCACAGACTATTCCAGAGCAGGCTGGACTGTTGTCATGAGCCCAGTATCCATTGTTACTTGTCCCGAAGACATCCATACCGGGCTGCTACGTGGATGAGAGATAATGGTCAGTCTTGCTTGTAACTGTAAACGACCATCTTCCAACTACTCTCCTTCCCCCAATCCCACAGCTCGGGTCCACCCCTGAGGCCACAAGTGAGTTCACCTACTGGCTTAACTCGCCATCGCCATCGCCCTCCCCAGAACAGAGCAGCTCTGGCCAGCAGACCACCGACACCACCACCACCACGGTGCGAGGGAAAGCGGGAAGAATTGGGGTGGTCACACCACGTCTCCCAACCAATACCGGCAAGGACGGATGTCGCTGGGTTGGCCTGGGCGCACTGGCCGGCATCAGACATGCAGCCAAGTTGACAGTGCCTCCACCAGACATTCCATGTCATTATCCAACGCCCCTGCTCCCTCTTTCCCGGACCTCCAGGCCCCAGAATTTTACAACACTGACATCCCGCCGGCACCTCCGGGCCTGGTCTGGTGGGAGTACTTGCCAGGTGTACCAGACTTGCCCGACCCGGAGGTTCTCCTTGGCGCAAACTACAGCAGGTGAGGGGGATCAAATGTTTGGTGGGGGCCTCACCCTCCTGGGAAGCAGACGAATGGACGATTGATTGATGTACAACATTGTGGGGCGCTCAGTGTGGCAGACAATAAACGTTGGGGCAGTCTCAAGTACCCGTCTGCCTACTGGGCTGTATCACTCGAGCTCCCGCCGAGCCTTCCATGGGCAGGTATGGGTGGAGGTATGACTCCGACTTCACCTCTGTCAGCTACAGCTTCACCAACCTCGACAAGGTCGGGACGGTGGAGTATCGATCGTGTATGTGGGAGTGCATCCTCCCCCCACTCTTAGCAGCCCGGCCCAGCCACACGTCATGTTGATGTTAGCAGGCACAGCGCTGCCCCTCCTCGAGCTGGACTGGGTTCACCCCTCTACGAGCCCTTCAGCATGCGGAGTACTCACTGAAGCACCCACCTCCCCTCCCTCCAACACCCGTCCGGTGCAGACCACAATGGCCAACATCTCGGACCGCTCCCCACGCCTCTGGGCGCATGCTGTGGTGGTCTGGATGGTCACCTTCTTCACCTTCTACGTGCTCTGGTCCTACAGCAAGGAGGCGCTGCGCCTGCGCACCTTCTACCTCCTGAACCAGCCGCCGGGGGCGGAGTCGCACACCGTGCTCGTCACAGACATCCCAGGCGTCCTGTTCGGCACCATCCCACAGCGCCTGGACGGGACGCTGCTCAAGTTCGTCCCCAAAGGTGCGGAGCCATGGGCTGCATGGGAAAGGAGGGAGGGGAAACCCATGTCCTGACCAGGGTGTTGCAGGCAGATGCAGGACAACAAGTAGCACGCTTGGCTGTTCTGGGCATCTCGACGACACGATATGCAGCGGCCTGTGCAGTCTGGCAGCACCTCTCTCCATGGAACCCATGTGGTGGGTTGCCATGCATCAAGTGTGATTTGCCCTTCATGCACCTTCGTGACCCCCCCTCAGCATACCATTCACCTGCCGGTGCAAAACATGCCAATGCCACAGGGATGAAGGAGACGGCCTTCAAGCATGTTCACGACATCAAGGAGGCTGTGGGTTCCCAGGTGGCCAAGCACGCCGATGTGCCCATGTGAGAGGGCCACTGGATGGGGTGGGAAAGGTGGGTGGCGGGGCTGTCACGTCGCTACCATGCGCCCTGCAGACGGCATGGCAGCCCAGTTGACGGCCAGGGTCACCGTGAATCTGAGCAGGAATCTCATGATCCAGGGTCGGTGCTGTGCGGCACTGAGCATCATCCTGCCTCACACCCGACTTGCGCAGTGGCAAGCGTGTGGCCAGCAAGGCTGACCTGGCGGCAGCATCCAAGATGTCCAACTTTGCCACCGAGGTGGGCCGCTCGGGGTGGCACCCCATGTAGCAGGGGATTCCTGCGTCTTTGAGTGCACAATGCCAGGTCATGCTCATGTGGAGATCATGCCTCCAGGCCCACCTTTCAGTGCAACCCAGCCAAGCATTCCTGTTCCTTCATGTCAGATCAATCCTGAGACCGGGAGGTGGGAGATGCCCGATCCCTGGCGGCAGGCTGCAGATCAGGTGGGCTGCTGGCAGGGCAGTGGTTGGTCGTGATGCATGGTCCGTGCATGAGAATTCACCCGTGTCGCATGTCAAGGGGATATCTGAGCTCAAGACTGCCTTCAAGACCCTTGGTCCTCCCTTATCCAGCTGCGTGATGGTAAGACCGTTTCGGAGATTGTGGAGAATGAGTTTCGAGCCGTCCATCGCGATGACTTCAGAGTGGTGAGTTGACGCGCTGGGAGCATGGCTGTGCAGGAAAGGGGGAGGAGGGTAAGGGGTTGACCAACCATTGCCGCATGCGTTCCGACCCTTGCTGGCCCCAAGCCATTGTGCCTGTGGGATGTCATGCCGCAGCAGACACCTCAGCCTCCTGAACCCATTCAGGGTTCAGTGTCCCTTTCCTCCACCATGCAATCCCCCCCATGCTCTGTCACCCTTTCCTACCCCAGGCCCACATGGTGTACAACACCAGCGAGCTGGACCCACTGGTGGCCGAGTACGAGAAGAGAGCTCGGGTGCTGGAGGACCTCCTGGACGACTACATCTCCAAGAAGCGACGCAGCGCCAAGCTGAAGATAAAAAAGGTGCGTCAGGATCAGGGAGGCGCAGTTGGGGGGTTCAGGCTGGGTTGATTCGACCCCGAGGTGATCCTGGCGTCTGGAAGAGGGGGACACGCATGCCTCCAGCCACGCAGGGTCCAGCTCGTCCTCGCGTGTGTGGGTTCTCTTTGGTGCTGCTGCATGCCAGCGTCCCCGCCCAAAGTCGTGCCAGAGCATGCACGTGCACCGCAGATGACTGTGGTGGGCCCCACTATGGGGGCATGGGGCCGCGAGAAGTATGGCCTGAAGCCAGTCAAGGTGGAGGCTCTGCAGTTCCTGCAGTGAGTCCAGGGATGCCGGGAGGGGTGGGGTTGCATGGGCGTGGGGGGTTCCAGGGTGTGCCACTCCATCCCACCTGACCTGGCATGGACAGCCCACTTCCAGTGTGATCCCGAACAGCTTCCCTCAGCAAATCACCCCACACCAACCCCGTGCCCCCTCCCCTCCACCCCCAGCGATCGCCTGGAGCAGCTCAAGGTGGAGATCGAGGAGCAGCAGGTGAAGGCGCGGGGCAAGCTCTTCCCCTCCGCCTTCGTCACCTTCAACGCCAGGCTGGCCCAGGTGGGCGCCGTGCGCTCGCTGATGAATGAGGACCTGTCCACCTGGCGCTGTCAGGCGGCGCCCCGCCCCTCCGAGATCGTGTGGGGCAACCTGGGGTGGCGCATCTGGGAGCGCGCGGGGCGGCACCTGCTCATGCTGGCGGCCTTCATCGCGCTCGCCTTCTTCTTCATGATCCCCGTGGCGGCGGTGCAGGGCCTGCTCACCACCAACTCCCTGGTCGGGTGAGTGATCGGGGTGCTGGGTTCGAGGGGGAAGGGTTATGGGGCGAGGCAGCCATGCGGCGACCCTGCCTCCTTCGCTTTCCTTTGTGCACTCGTTTGCCCAAACCTACCTCCTCACTTCCTCATCTCCAAATTTCAACTCCCCCCCCAAAACTCAACGATCCGCAGGGCCCTCCAGCGCATCGCCATCCTGAACGCCGTGCTGACCTCCATCCTGCCGGGGCTGGCCCTGAAGATCTTCATCGCCCTGGTGCCCGCCATCATCATGGCCATGAACCGCTTTGCGGGCATGGTGTCCCTGAGCCAGATGGACCTGGCCCTCACCAGCCGCTTCTTCGTCTTCCAGGTGGGGGTTTGGTGGTGGGTTTTGGGAGGTGTGACCCCCCTCGTATGGTGCGTGTCAGTGAGGGGGAGAGGGGTGGGGCAGGTGCCCAGAAGGTTGCCACAACGCTTTCCTCAGTGCATCTGGAGGGACCCATGATCTTGCCCTTCGGACTCTATCACCCTGCACCCTCATCCTTGCACGTTCCTCCATCCCTGCCCCACTGTCACAGGTCATCACAGTGTTCTTCGGGTCCTTCATTGCCGGGTCATTCTTCAACCAGTTCAAGCAGTTCATCGACGACCCTGGCAGGTGATACTGGGCGGAGGGTGGAGGGGAGGGACTGTTCACTACAGTACCATGATCTGGGGAACACTGGTGGGAAAGTCTGATCATGCACTCTCAATGGCTCATCTGCCTGTGAAGAAAGCACCGATCACACTTGCCTGCGCAGCGACCAGGCCTCACTTCCCGTGCTCCGTTCCCACTTTCCAGTATCGTCACCGTTCTGGGGACGTCCGCGCCCCAGACCGCCATCTTCTTCATGACTTACCTTCTGGTCCAGGTGTGTGGGGAGGGGGTGTTTGTGTCACTTTCCAGATCATGCAGAGGTACAAGGCATACATCCCCGGTATCAAACCCTGTACATTACAGCAAGCCCTGGCTTGGTACCCCATTGCACGCCTGTGCCCTGTCTCATTCCGGACCCCGTTCCCCTGTACCTATGCAGGCCCTGCTGACGCAGCCCCTGGGCATCGTTCGCGTCGTCTCGCTGGTGATCTTCTGGGTCAAATCGAAGCTGGCGGCCACGGCACGTGCCAAGGTGGGCATGGATTTGGGCAGGTGGAGGGGAGTCATGCTTTCGAGATTCCATGACCCTCGTAGAGCCTCGACCGGACATCCCTCTTCCCCTTGCAGCGCCGCTTGTGGGAGGACCAGGAGTTCCGGTACGGCACTGTGCTGCCCAACGACACCATCGCCATCCTCCTGGGACTGGTATGCTGGCGCAACATCTGGTGGCTTGCACAAAAATGCCGGCTTGTGCATGCCGTGAGGGCGATGGAGCGCGGGCCAAGGAGACATTCTCATCACTTCACACCATCCTCCCAGCACTCGCATCTCACCTGCCACCCACTCATTGGCAATGCGTACAGACATTCAGCACCATCTGCCCCCTCATCCTCCCCATCGCCTTCCTCTACTTTGTCGCCGCCTACCTGGTCCAGTGAGCTGGAGTGGCAATCGCATTGGGAAAGCTGGGTCCTACATTCATGAGGGGAGCGCTGTGATGCATGCCTGTATGCAGGAGCCTCACTGTTTCTCAATGTCTTTCCACCTCAACAGCAAGTACTCCTTGGTCTACGTGTACAAGCAGCCCTACCAGACGGGCGGCAAGGTGAGGGTGCACAAGAGTGCCTTGCATGCATGCTGGACCTCCTCATTGCTGATGAGTTTGGGTGCTGCGTACCCAGTCCCACTCCCAGCCCACAGACCCACATGTCCTTTCCCCACCGCATGCAGTTCTGGCAGTCTGCCTTTGATCAGTGCATCGTGGGCCTCGTCATCTTCCAGCTTGTCATGATTGGCCTGCTGGGTGGGTTGAAGCTGAGGGGTTGAATGTCCCGGGCTGATGGCAGGCTGTGATCTGCCATATGGAGGAGAGGAGGGGACAGCACAGGCATGCTGTGGTGCTGTTGATGATTTTGGGTCTGGTGTTCTGATTGATGTAGTGACATGCAGGGTCTCTGTCTGCCTTGCTTACAGTCCTGTCATCATTCCCCACGCACTCTCCATTGCACAGGCATCAAAAAGGTGATTGGTCCTCCCATCTTCATCGTCCCCCTGCCCTTCCTGACCCTCTCCCTGTAGTGAGTTGATGGTGATGTTGGCATTGGGCAGGCTCGGATTTGGGTGTGGGGCTTTGTGGTGTCAATGCTTCCCTCCAGGATTGTCTGAGTTTTCCGATGTTGCCGCCGGTCAAGATCTTCTGCATTCATCGATGTTCTGGTGCAGACTGCAACCTTGACTCAGCAACGCCTGCCGTCCCTACCGCAGTTTTGCTGCGCATGCTCGCTTCTGGAGGCCCTTCGAGGGGTTGTCACTCCTGTCGGCCGGCTTGCTGGACAAGAGGGAGAAGGATGCCTGGGTGAGTGAGGATTGCAAGAGGTGTAGAGGTGTGTCGGGAACAGGTGCTTCAGGTCCAGTGGGCAGACTGGTTGCCTGCAAGCCCCTCCCTGCAATGTGCATTAGATTTAGAATCGGTGCTGTGATTGCAGCAGACACCAACAACGAGCACCCGCTCCTGATCTCATCATCACAGGAGAATGGCACGCTGCAGCCCCCTGCTGACAAGGAGATTGAAGAGCGATACCTGTCCCCCTCCTTCAAATTTGAGTAAGCTGGAGTGCACGGGGAGCAGTCGCTCAAAGGGCTGTGCCTAACTGCCCTCGTGCATCATGACAGGTTGCCTGATTGACATATCTGGCACACTGTGATGCTTCTGCACACCAGCACACCCTGCCACATTCCGTCCCCCCTCTCATGCTCCCCCTCCTTGTTTGTAGCACCTCAAACCACGAGCACCTGGTCGGAGACGCGCTGCGGATGAAGGCGGTCCTGGACGGCGGCAGTGACGATAAGCTGCTGGGACTGGAGGACACGACCGACGACGAGGACGATGGGTCGGTCACCCCCGCCTCTGAGACACCGGTGGACATTGAGTCTGGGAGCGGGGCCTCGGCCCCTTCCCAGGCCCCTCCCCGAAATGTCGACCTCCAGGAACCTAAGGAGGTCATCGCCCAGTGAGCGTGGCAGGCTGGAAAGATTGAACAGATGGGGATCCTTGTTTGGGGGGAGGAGGAACTCATGAGGCAGATTTATGTCACTACACAACGTGCTGGTCTAGAATAATGAGCTGTGCCCTCGCTTCCTATGCCCCACAGTATGTGCAAAACCCTCATATTTTTTGTGTGTCTGCTCCAACACTGCATGCCTTGTCACGAGTGCGTTTCAGACACGGTGGATGCAGAGCCATGCATGCCAGGGGCAACTTGGACAGTCGAGGCAATGTGGGGTGAGAGCAGGATCAGGTGCACTTGTGTGTGCTCCTCTTCCTCTACACAAGGTTCGCACACACAACTCAAAACACGACCTAAGGCAAGACGAGCCGGCAGTGCCTGCCCACCTACCCCATGGCCAGGGAGTTGAACATCTGCCTCAGGTCCTGGACCCTGCCCTGGCTCTGCAAGTCTGAAGTGCGCCTGGCTGTCGCCGCCGTCGTCCCCTCGCCCTCCAGCGTCTCAACGGCGGCCGCCGCTGCGGAGGCAAGGGAGGACGCGCTGCTCTGGGGCAGGATAGACTGCGCGCGGTCCAGGTCCGGCAGCTGGCCACCCGAGGAGAGGGGCAGCGCCTCGCGTTCTGGCGCCGGCGCCGGCCCCGAGGCGCCGCGCAGGACCAGGCGCTCGCCGGGGTCGCTATCGCGGCGCGCCGCGGCGCCGGGCGTGTCGGCGCGCAGATACCAGTCCGAGGACGGCTCGGCCGCCAGCTGGGCGGGGGGGTGTTCGCTGGGTCCGCGCCGGCTGCCAGCGAGGGAGGTTTCCTTGGAGGGCGCGCGCAGCGGCGCCGCACCCGACTTCTCCTCGCCTGCCGTGCCCGTCCGCGCTCTGCGCGCTGCGCGCGCAGAGCCGGGCGCCGGCGCCGGGCCCCCGCCGCCACAGATGAGGGTCAGCAGGCTGGCCACGAAGCAGCTGGCGCCGCCCTCCACCGTGTCGGGGCTGCCGTCCTCGCCGACGCCAAGGGCGGCGCCGTGCGCGGCCTTGCCCTGGGGCTGGGGGGCGTCGCGCAGGCTCTGCCGCGCCCCCGCCTTGATCACGAGGAGGAAAGAGAGGTAGCGCGGCATGCCGCCCGCCAGACCCGCCACGAGGGAGCAGCGGGAGGGGGAGGGATTCTGGGCGGCGGCGGGGGCGGCGCCAGGCGAGGCATGGTACCACGCCGCGATGTCCGGGGGGCTGAGCATTGCCCCCACCCTCATATTGTACGCCTGGAACCTCCGCACGGCAGCTGCGAATTGTTGTGGATTGTGGGGTGAAGAGGGGTTGGGCAAGTATTCTGTCAGCTGTGCACCTTGCGGTGCCTGACAATTCATGCAAGCGCCCAAGAAGACTCAGGCACTGGGCAGAATGGCCACAGCGTTCACCCTCACACCCAGCATTCCCGCTCACCAGAGTACACGGGGCGCATTCCGTTGAGGAAGGGTCGCCCCTTGTTGGCCAGGCTCTGCGCCAGGCTGGCGTACCCAGCCGGCTGCACCAGCCCCTCCAGCACATCCTCATGCAGGAAGTCGAAGGCAAGGCGGGACCCGGGCGCCGACAGGGCCGAGACGTCGCTGAGCAGGGTGTCCGCCGCCTCTGGGTCCAGCTGGCAGAGGAGGCCCTCAGCCACGAACACCGCCCTCTTGCCAGGGTTGAAGCCGGCGCCGGTGAGGGCGGGGATGAAGGTAGCCAGGTTGCCCCAGTCCACGCTCACAAAGGCGGGGCGGGGGTGCAGATTCCGATTAGGGAGCACTGGGGGGGTGATGGGAGGGAGCGGAGAGGGTTGGTGTGTGGGTGGGAGAATGGAAAGGGCGCATGTTAGGACACCACATGGGCAGAATCAGGACCTCAGCCAGTTTTGTAAAGCTCCCCTACCCCCACACCTGCTTCTAGGAGCTGCTTCTTGGCCTGGTGTGCCTCTACATCATCCACTTCGTAGAACTGAGCGTGGGAGTGATGGTGTGGGTGTTTTTATGTGAGAGGGAGGAGTCAGGTCTGTTGAAAAAACGCCAGCTGCCCGTCTTGTATAAGGACACAACAACGTCACAGCCCTCCCACCCTCCACCGTCCCCAAGGCAGGCAGACCCACTTCAGACCACGAAGCTCAGTCACCTTGACATGGGGGAACCTCATGCGGTATGGCCTCGTGTCATAGCCGGGGCGCAGGATGACTACTTGCTCCGCGCCCTCCTCGACGCCCGCCCGGATCTGGTCGTCCAGCCACCGGCACCTGGCCGCGGTGTAGGCGCAGATGCCTGGCACCCCGCCCTGCAGACCGTACTCCAGGAAGTTCTGGTAGTGCCACGCAAAATAGGGCACCGTCCAGGAGAGGTACCGCCAGGAGGGCACCAGGTGGTCCCGGAAGCGGAGGAGGATGAGGTCCGTGCAGTCTGGGTTGCTGGCCTGCAAGACCAGGTTCGACAGCTCCAGCGGCCAGGAGGCGGTGAGGGCGTGCAGGGCGCCCCAGCGGCTGCTTCCGTTTGCATGAGGGATGAACTTAGATTTAGAGGACTGGGTTTCCCTCGCGGCGCTATTGCCGTCCGGCACCGTGTTGAAGAGTCGAAGTTTCGTGGACGACATGGTCGGCGCGGGTGGCGAGTTAGTGTTTCGAATGAAAGCGTAAAAGTAAGCGCGCCTTGACGGTAGTTAGTTACATGTCACAGGCCGGTGGATCCCATGCATATCGGTTGCCGCCCGTCCAGGCGTGCGGGGACAATGCATCGGGTGTTCGGATGCACAAGGCTCGCGCAGCCCATGCTCCGAATGGTGTCGAAACCGGCGGATCCCCCGAGGCAGGCTTGCTGATGTGACGACTTCGCGGGATTCAGTTTGCCAATTTTGCACCCTGTGCGCCTCGAGCAGAGTATTTCAGCACATTTCCTCATTAAACTGGCATTGTATACCCTCGGATGCACATGCGATCTTCCGCATGACCCAGGCACACTGCGCGGAAAGAGGCGCCCACCCTGTCCGGCAACATCCGGAGCTCGTTACACCGGCGCGGACAAGTTGACACCAACCCATCCGGCCCCCACTGGTCCCTTTCAACCTGTACCCTTGGGTCGCTATTGGTATACATACGAGTAGCAGGCATTCCTGCACCATATATCATAGCATTGTCAAGATAAAGATGGTCAGGCCCAGGACGCTGAGCCGCAGCGACACGCCATTCAAGAGCCCCAGCGCCGAGGAGCTGGGGTTCCCCGCCTCGTACTCCTGCATGCTCTGCTGCAGGGAGCGCAGGGTCACCTTGGACGCCAGCTCCTCGGCGGTCATGGGCGCTGCGCCGGTGGCGCCCTCCTCCACCGGGTCGGGGGTGAAGACCACGACCTGCGGCTGCCAGGGCAGGAGCATGAACCCCGAGGCGTTGAAATTCCCAGCCAGCCCCGGCGGCGGCTCCACCGCCACCCACAGCGCCACGACGTCGCTGCTGATCTCCAGCACCAGGGCTCCAGAGTCCCCCGTCTGCGCACCGGGAAGCGCGCGCGCCGATAGCACCGGCGGCGGGCCCCAGAGCGAGGCGTCCACGAACTCGGTCGGGTGAAAGAGGGCCTCGCCGCACACCAGCGCCGACGACGCCGCAGCGCAGGCGGCCGAGCCGGGCGCCGCGCCCAGGCCGGCGATGCTGCTCATGCACGACTCATTGGCCGAACTCCCTGTCAGACCGGCCGAGGAGGCGGCGGCCACCTGCGTGTCGTTGCCGCCCGCCCCGTCCCCCGCCGTCTCTACCTCAAAGGGATTGGGCAGCCCCACGGCCGCCTGCACGGCTGTGGGGCAGAAACGGAGGCGCAGCACGTAGTCGGAGGTGTACGTCAGCTGCGTGGGTTGCGCCTGCCGCGTCACAGCGTCCGCCAGCGAGGCCAAGCCCCCAGACCAGGCCGGCGCGGCGGTCAGCGCGGCCGCGTGCGTAGCCGTGGGCGGCAGCAGCGTCACCACGTCGGCCTCGGACCGCGCCGCGTACAGCACGGCGTCGACCGACAGCAGACCGCGCACGTCCAAGGGGAGGTCGTTGACCAGGGAGGCGCGCAGGGTGTCGCCGTCGCGCCAGGCGGAGAGGTAGACGGGGGCGAAGAAGCGGCGCGCGGCATGGTGCAGCAGCTTCCACTGCCCGCCGTGGTTGATGCTCGACCAGGAGGGGCCCTGGGAGTTATTTTGGGGGGAGGGTGTATGGGCAAGTGGGTGTTTGTGGGAGAGTTCTACAAGCATGTGCAGAGAGATCACATACGAGTAGCCTGGTGCAGCACACAGAGCTCCATGGAGGAGCACCTGCACTGCCCCTCCCGTATCGTGATGTGGCATGGGTTTCACACAGCCAGAAGAACAGCTGGGACTTACCATTGTGCGGCCCCCCCCCCTCTCCCACCCCTTGCACCCCTGTAATAAGCTTCATTGTCCGATACCCCCCCCTCCACATGGACATACTACCTGCCAGATGTCGTTGAGCTGCCAGTAGAGCATGCCCATGGTGCGGGTGGCGGGGTCGTCCCGCCCGCGCCGCCACACCCCAGCCGCCGTCTCGTACGCCAGCGCCTGCTGCACCTGGGAAAGGTGGGTGAAGGCCTTGTACTGCAGGGCCACGGGGCTCTCCGAGGAGTTGGTGGTGTTGGGCCCCGCGACGATGACGTCGGGGCCGCCGATGGTCACGGTGGGGCCGTCGGAGGCGCCGACGGGGCCGTCAAAGGCGCTGACGGGGGGGGTCTCGCCCGAGGCATGCAGGAAGTGGCGGCCCATCTGCCGCTGCAGCTCCTGCACCCCGCCCGCGTGGCGCAACCTGAAGTCGGTCATCGCGCTGGACAGGTCCCAGTCTCCCAGCTCCGTCACAGTCTGGTAGACTGCGGCGTGTCGTGGGAGGAGAGTTTGGTGCAGGCGGGCAGGGGGGCTCGGGCACATGCCTGTCAGACAGCCAAGGGGGCAGCGTCGCCTGTGGGCATGGTTTGCATCCCTGGCTCACCGGAGAAGGAGGGAAAGGACATGAAGCCAAACTCGGAGACAAACTTGGCCGGGGGGTATGTCGCGGGGTCAAAGGCGTCAGAGGTGTAGTCGTAGAAGTGCACGTCCCCATATGCGGGGTCGGAGACGTCCCCCCACCTGTGAGGTTGGATGTGTGAGATGCAGATGGAGCAGCATGAGTGGGTCATCATGCGAGTTGCAGGGTAAACAAGGACTGGTGGTCCTGCCTGGTGGGGCAGTAGATTGAGGCACTGCAGTGGCACGCCCGCATCGCTGCACCATGCCTGGCACACTCCTCGGTGATGCTGCATCCGGGCGCCACTTTCGCATGGTCAGAAACCCTCACGACGCTACACGAGGACCCCCTGCCAGTCAATATACAACAAGCAGTAACACCCCACCCACCTCTTGACGTAGGGGTTGGAGGACAGCAGGCCATTGCTGGGGGAGGTGTCCACGTAGACGACACCGGGGTCAAGTTCCTGGAGCACGGGCCTGACCACGTCCACAAACAGGGCGGCAAAGTCCACGGCGAAGAGCTGCGGGGCGGCGCGGGTGACCGGGCTCCAGCCGAAGGAGGCCTCCACCTCGTTGTTCCCGCCCCACAGCACGACGCTGGGGTGGGCGCTGAGCCGCGTGAACTGGTGCCTGACCTCCAGCGCCACCTGGATAGGGGGAAATTGAGTACAGAGGCAGCGGTTTGATGTGGTCTCCAGGGCGGTGGCCTGAGGGGCTCGCAGATGAGGCTTGTAGTAATGCCTGTGGGAGCCACATCGAGACACAAGCGGCCTGCTCTCGCATCACTGCTGCTCAAGTCATGCACCAAGCAGGCCCTGCAGGCACCGCCGCTGTACCCGCTCGAGTTGTATTAAAGGCCGCAAGGGACGCGGTGAGCAGGGGCACCGAGCCCAGACCAGCACGCCGCGTGTCCCAACAAACACGACCCACTTCCCACCCCGACCACCCTCACCTCCTCCAGGAAGGGTGCGTCGCGGGGGTAGGCGGCGCAGGCGGCCATAACCTCCTGCCAGACCAGCAACCCCGCCTCGTCCGCCGCGGCGTAAAATGCGTCGCCGGCGTACCTCCCCCCGCCCCACACGCGCAGCATGTTCATGCCCACCGCGCGCGCGTCCGCCACCTGGCGCGCCAGCCTGGCGGGCGTCACCGCGCTCTCCAGCACGTCGTCGGGGATGACGTTGGCGCCGCGCGCGAACATGGGCACGCCATTGACGCGCAGGAAGAAGGTCTCCCCCACCGCGCGCCCGCCCTCCACCAGGGCCTCGGTGACCAGCTCCACGGAGCGCAGGCCCACGGCGCGGGTGAGGGAAGAAAGCGCGTCGCCCGCCCCTTCCGGCTCGAAGCGCACCTCCAGGTCGTACAGCGTGGGCGACCCCAGCTCCCAGGGCCACCAGCGCTGGAAGGGCGGGTCGACGGTCAGAGAGATGACGGCGCTGCAGCTGGCCGGGAGGGCGGCCGCAGCTGCGCAGGCGGGGCCCGACGATGCTGAGGCTCCCACCGCCGCGCTTTCCTCAGCCCCGCCACAGGACAGCAGCACCTCCTGCTCCGCGCTCCAGGCCCCGGACAAGGTCTGGTTGCCCATGTCCAGGATGAGTAGGCCGCCATGCTCGCCGGGCGGGGCCTGAAAGAATGCCGTGGCCGTGATCAGGAAGCTGCCATTGCTCTGCTCCTCCTGTGCCAGCGCCAGGCCTGAAGAGGGACAGAGGAAGGGAGAGGGGGTGAAGGGGGCATGTTAGGAAGATCGGATGGTCTCTGGACTGCGACCTGCCCGCCATTTACTGCCCCAACTCCATGCGACGCCCGTTCTTGACATGCTGGGTGTCAGGGCTGAGGAGGAGTTCCCTTTCAGAACCCCATCCTTTCCCTGCCTTGCCATCCCAAAGCCACAGGGAAGCTGACCACAGCGCACCGGTGAGGTAGGGGCCGCTGTAGGCCGTCAGCGTGACGTCGCCCAGGATGCAGGCAGGGGCAAAGGCGGGGCCCCAGTCCCAGCCAAAGTCAGACGCCGCCTTCCGGATGAAGTTGTAGTGGGGGAGGCCGCCCACCTGACGCACGGCGGGCACCTGGTAGGGGTAGACGGCCGCAGCGGCCGCAGCGACGGCGGCCGCGGATTCGATTGTCACGGTGAGGGTGTTGTTGCCATCTTCCGCCAGCAGGCCACTCACGTCTGCCTCAACCGGCCGGTGGGAGTTGCGGGGAAAGGCCAGGACCTTGCCGTTCAGGGCCACCTGACCCACGCCGTCCACGGCGCCGATGGTCAGGAGCCAGTGCGTGGCGTTCTCGGCCGGCTGCGGGGAGGGGAAGCTGGCCGTCCACGTCCATGTGTCATCCGCCACCCACCGGTAGTCCAGCTCATTGTACCTGCGCATACGCATGGGAGAGGACATTACAGGCGGCTTTGTTTACCAGACCGGGCTTGACCCGCGCCATGCAACGAGGGTCTTGAGGGGACCACCGCCCTCCGGAGCGAGCGGCACCTGTACAGCGGGTCGCCGGCCAGTCGTCCGTCCTCCAGCAGGGAGCCAAGGGCGCATGAAGGGAGGGTCACGGGCACATCACTTATGTTTGCGGAGCCAGCGCTGTTGTTCAGGCTCCACGTCGCGCTGTCCCCCAGTGACCAGGTCTGGAGCGCGAGCGCAGGGACTAGACCGCAGGCCAACAAGGCCGTGATGCTCACGAAGTGGCGAGACACCATGCCCAGCAGCTTTTAAGAGATTTTGCATGATGGGTGGCTTCCAAAGGCTTTAGAGGGGATGGAATGTGCTGCGTCGTAAGATCCGAGTGCGTGCTCCACCCTCGCCGGGCATGCCCAGCATGGGCCCGAGATCCCCTGCAAAACGCCGACGCAATTGCGCGTGCCTTGAACGCTGATCTGGGGCTGAGGTCGAACATCAGCATTACCAGTCTCGACAAACTCGCTTAACGAGCGCATGCAGTCTGCATCATGTCGAGTCAACTGCCGTGTGGGATGCACAGTCAGCGTGGGGGGGAGCAAGGCAACGTGCCCCACCGGCAACAGCTAGACGCAAGGAAGAGAATCGCGTCATAAAACACCTGTACGTTCCATCATGTTGATAATTATTGCTTGACACTTGCCAGGATATACATCACCGCATATTGTCTCTAGGGTGTTGCTTGATTATCGTTGGTGTTTGTCTTGTGGCAAGATTCCAATCAGGTGGTGTTTAATAACACCAGGTTGGTTTTGGTGGCGAGGTTCTTAGGCGCCGAAGCCGTACAGGGTGCGGCCCTGGCGCTTGAGGGCGTAGACCACGTCGAAGGCGGTCACGGTCTTGCGGCGGGCGTGCTCGGTGTAGGTCACGGCGTCGCGCACGACGTTCTCCAGGAACACCTTGAGCACGCCGCGGGTCTCCTCGTAGATCAGGCCGCTGATGCGCTTGACACCGCCACGGCGGGCCAGGCGACGGATGGCGGGCTTGGTGATGCCCTGGATGTTATCGCGCAACACCTTCCTGTGGCGCTTGGCACCGCCTTTTCCCAGGCCCTTTCCGCCCTTGCCGCGTCCAGACATGGTAGCAGGAGGTTGATTTGTTGGTGGGAGACTGTGTGGAGATGGTGAGAATGATGCTGAGTTCGACGACCGGGGCCTGCTTTATTTATTCTCGAAGACGCATTCTGCATACCAAGTCGATGGGCCGTTGTGGCCGTTTTGGCCTACAAGATCGGTACGTGCTCCGTAACAACGGAGGTGGCGGGAAGTGTCTTTTGAGCGCTCGGCGACAGCATAAATCCACGCGACGGGACCGCACTCCCACAAAATCTCCCAGCCTCCAAAATCCTTCAACATCAAAACACATCAAGAACAATGGCTCGCACCAAGCAGACCGCCCGTAAGTCCACCGGTGGCAAGGCCCCCCGCAAGCAGCTGGCCACCAAGGCCGCTCGCAAGTCCGCCCCCGCGACGGGAGGAGTGAAGAAGCCTCACCGCTACAGGCCCGGAACCGTCGCCCTGCGCGAGATCCGCAAGTACCAGAAGTCCACGGAGCTGCTGATCCGCAAGCTGCCCTTCCAGCGCCTGGTCCGCGAGATCGCCCAGGACTTCAAGACCGACCTGCGCTTCCAGTCCTCCGCCGTGCTGGCCCTGCAGGAGGCCGCCGAGGCCTACCTGGTCGGCCTGTTCGAGGACACCAACCTGGCTGCCATCCACGCCAAGCGCGTGACCATCCAGCCCAAGGACATCCAGCTGGCCCG